GTAGGCAAATGGGTAGTCTCGTATATGTGTGAACATTTGATGTACCATAGTAATGAAGTCCCACATCAAAAGAAACCTCATAAAACAGACGAATGGAATTTCTAAATAGAAGCAAAATATAGCTGAGTCATGTGACTCGGTTACTGCATGATGATACAAACGTTAAATCCGTTTTGATTAGATCAAATAAATGTTTTTGTGTACAGAAGACTTGACATGTGTGTCAGTATAGCGTCTGATAATTCGAGCCGAAGGTTATCTGCGGATGACGTGGGCAGAATGTTTTTTTTTTTTTGGAATGACTATGGGAAACTGACAAGTTACATAACTTTATCGCATTCTTATTTCTGCTTGAAGACGTAGGATAGTTCACAGCCGCGTGTGACTCGAAAATTTCTGCTGCTGCTCCTTCTCCAGTCCATACACGCAACTTCACCGCTCAGTTTGGCCCAGAAAAGTTGTAACTATGTACGAATAGCGCCTGTTTGAAGGAAAGTGATTTGTTATTTCGCCCTCAAATGTATCTCTTGATATAGTTGAGATCCCACAGTAATGTGGCATATAAGCCCCTTTGTTAGGCAACGATAGCGAAATAAGCAAGTATAATACTACTATTACTAGACAGAGGAACGGTGTTCTCTATGCCATCCATGCCGAGATGTCATGAGCAGGACAAGTTAGTCGAGGGAGTCAGTCTGTGAGGATTGAGTTAATGAATTAGTGAGTCAGATACCTGCTGGGGTTCAGTTGTGAGCTGTTGCCGTGAGAAGCTGGTAGCTGAGACGAGGGACAGTTCGGGAATTCGGAGGAAGGGGAACATGCGCTGTTTGAAGCCGCTACCAAACAACGGCTAGTGAAGACCGTAACAGATTGAGAAGACCTTGTGTGTCCTGTAGTGGGTTATGAAGTGGGCAGAACAGCGAGAGGATAATCCTTACTTGTACGTAGTTACGAGTTTTAAGAGTTTTCATATTTCTTCCTCCACGTCTTTCTTTCTTGTGGTCGAAGTATTCTGTGCGTGTTTTGTTGGCAACCGTACCAGGAATGTGCCTGCTTACACATGTGACCATAAGATTACGTAACCAGAAAAATGTGTTAACACGCTATTTTACGTTTTATTCAGCTTCTCTTTTTTGTTTACGTCTTATTAAACTGTCCGTAACTCGGGCGTAACCTATCGGCCCGAACTGGAAGTCAGACGTAAAGGAACTATCGTTTCAGGCATTAGACCTCGAAGCTTCAACATGACTAGTACAAAATAGCATTTTATCCTGTTGTCACGTGTATCGGTGACTAAGACTCGGGTTTGGATTGGCGAATCGATTTATTGGATCTTCAGTAGTTGTAACTACAATCAGTTCTTACACTCTTAAAATTACTGTAACTATAGTACGTACTTAAAGTCTTCAGTGTCTGTCAACAACACTGCACAGTTAAATCCTCACAACTCCTTTCCGTAACGGCTTCGTGTCCTTGACTCACGGGTTCTCAGCTATGACTGACAACAGACGACCTTCACTGTCCCCTGCAAACCGTCGGCACGGACACCGTTGAAAACGCCTATAATTGTAGGCGTGTTTACAGTTCTGTTGCTAGCGCTGGGCATGGCGCGGACCAATTGAAAACAAGTTACGTGATAGATATCTCTCCAGAACATTGGCGCGCTGATTGTTGCCTAGCAACGAGCTATAAACATTCGTAATATTGTTGCATGCGCGTATCGCGGGGTATTTATCGAGCCGTTGCCTGCCAGTGCGTTAACATGGCACACTATTCTTAACCTGTTCAGCCCAGTCCACGTGAAACATAACTTGCAATTTTGAACATTTTCCATTTTCTTCAATATTCCCAAACAGGAGGGGCACGCGGTAGTGTAGCTGGTTTGAAGCACTATGCTACAGGCCGGAAGGTCACGGGTTCGATACCCAATGAGTCCATTAGATTGTTCAATTGACCTAACCCTTCCAGTCGCACTACGACCCTGGGATCAACTCAGCCTCTAACAAAAATGAGTACCAAGAATCTTCCTGGTGGTAAAGAGCGGCCGACGCCTAACGCTGACAACCTGAGCGCCATCTCTGAGCCTCGACGTCTCACAACTTTATAGGCTTCCACGGGATGTCACACGGATAGCTTTGCCTTTCTAAAACATGCATTTCGGGAACTTCTTTTTTCTGACATCAGATGTGATGGAGGGAACGAACTGCAAGTATGCTGATATGGGTCCATTGGAAGACTGGTCTTGATCTTGAACCTGGACCAGTGGTACATTGTTTATATTAAAAACTAGACGATCGACAGTATCCAAAATAATAACCATGTTTACTGTAACGCAAGCGGCCTCCGCAGTTCCCACCTCATGACTCAAGTTACGCGGGTTCAAACCCGGCGGAGGTCGTGGAATTTTTAAGGGCGGAAAAATTCAGGGAACAAGTCCTCCGGGAGAGACTTTAAGCCGTGTGTCCCGTGTCTTAGATTTACGGAGCGTAAAAGATCCTCATGTCTCTAGGAGACCTCTGAGCAAAATTAAGCAAAGTTTCCCGCCCAAGTAGTTTCCATTTCCTCCGGTAGATGGGGAAGTATCGGGGACCGGTAACCGAAGGGCATGGCGACTGGTAGAATATCAAAGGGGGACGTACAACAGACTATTAGTCGCGGTGCATGGGGAAACCCACCCCCTCTAATAATAATAAAATACTGTAACGCGGTCATCATAAGCATCCAGTTCTTCTGGGTTCTAACGCCTTGTAGTTAAGAAAATTCCGACATTTCAGAGGAATGTGCCGTTTCCATAACCAGAGT